CATGGACCCAAAGATGGGAACGGTCCATGGTGAAGGATACTGCCTCTCACGGCTCTCCATCTCTGCAAAGTGAAAGATAGAATGCAGTGTGTTGTTTAGCACATCAACATATGGTGCTTTAGCCGCTCGAGCGACGTCGAGTGCAAGCTGTACGTTGGATGCTTTAAGGCTAGCCTTTGCGCCTCTGAAAACAGTGGTATAGCACCGTCGATCCAGCTCAACACCGTTCTCTGCGAGCAGCAACGGAAGCCGAACTGCTTCTGCAATGTCCCCCTGTAAACAGAGGGATTCAACCAGAGACGTGAAGTTGATCAAGTTAGGGGAGAAGCCGCGCTCGAGAAAATACTCAAGAGCCCGCTGAGGCGTAAAACTTTCATCAGCTGTGGACCATCCATTTTTCGCTTGCCTAGAAAGTAGCAAAGTCGTGACAACGCTCGCGAACCCAGCCGAGTTCAGATCGTGGCCCTTATCTGCGATCTCGCGAAGAAGCTCAAATGCCTTGGATTTGTATGCACTGCTACTCGCAAGGTTTCTGGCAAAGTGCAAAAGTGTATTTCGATGTAGCTTGATGCCCGACTTTTGCAAAATCTGGAGCATCTCAACTGCCTGCTCAAGGGGCAGATTCTTTCCGAGGCGACCCAGGGTAGACTGACGGATTGGAACGTGGCCAGGGGGCAGATCCTCAATGAGCTTTGCGAAAAGCTCGAGTACCTCGTCAGCCTTCGTAATACGATCTCGCATATTCTTGATGTTGTTCAATCTGAGATTCGAGATGCAGAAATGGGCAACGTCGAGGATTGCATAACCATGGGGTAGAGGATCCAACGTTGACTCAAGGACTTGGACGGCCTTTCCCGGACATGAATGCAGAGTCGATAGCATTGCAGTGGGCCATATCTTCTTCCGAGATTCCATGTCCAATTCGTGCCAGGCCTTTCTCATCTCTGACGTACTCTCCAGTCCGTACAAGAATTTCCCGTGGTCGAGCCATGTCCAAGATCTGGGCTTTGCAGGAGCCTCAAGCAGTTCGATTCTTCGCTTCCAGATGTTGAACTGCCGTCTTACGGCAACCAACTCATCTCCAGAGTATTGGTGACGCAAATAACCCCATTGTTTATATATTTCCTGCGTCCTCTTCCTCTTCCTCTCTAGGGCCTTGCGTTGCTCTTCGGCGATCTTTCGAGTGAATTCCGGGATTTCCCGATGCCTTAGTTGATGGGAGTGTTCGCTGCGCGAGCGTCTCTTCCTTAGTGAGAGTCTATGTCTATGATTAGACGCCCTGCCCCTTTCTTGAATCTGTTTGCGATCTTGTAGTGAGGGGGGAGTGTATGTCTGCGTCTTGGGAGGGTTCGAGGTGGCATTACGAGGACGCAGTTGTGATAATATTTGAGAACCGACTTCCGGGACGGATATGTGCGTATCGAGATGGTAGGAGCGGATCAATCTTGGACAACTTCTCGTAGTGTTGTATCGTAAAGCGAGAAAAACAGCTCTTCGAGTCCATGCTTGGGGCGTTATAGGAAGCTCAAGCCTTGCACAGGCGCGGAGTATAAGGGCCGTTGGCATATCCTCCGAGTCGGCATCAACTTGAGGCCAATCGTCTGCATAGTGATCACTAGACGAGTAGCTAATTCGCCGTAGTCGCTGGTAAGAGCTGAATTTCGAGGTCGCTGATTGCTCTTGATTGCGAAATTTTTCAGATTTATGCCGAAGTCGCTCAATGCGCCTCTATAATTTTAGCTCTCTTCTGCGCTTAACGCAGGGATCCAATGGGTGTTTGTTAGTGGAGGGGCTTATTTAGTGGCAACCCCTGCAGAACTCTTTCCAGTGAGTGGCCCGGGCGCTTGATTTGAGTCGCAGCGGCTCTGCGGGTGTAAAGCCATGGATAGACGCGCTTGAGAAATGTCCATCTTGAATTCCCACCTGTTTCGCATCCGCCAACCTCAAATCTCTGTAACATAAATTATACTCCAGCTTCACTCCGTTTTCACACTCTCTCGGCGCCCGTATACGGTTCCACGGCAATCTGACGCCATGTCTTCATCACATGCCAGCCTCAGCGCTGCCTCAGACGACCGAAAAGCCAGGCTCGCGAAGCTGAAGAACCTCAAGCGCAAGCAACCTGGAGATGAAATTGTTGCACCAGAATCAGAGAGAGCCCAATCCCCTCCAGTAGAGCCAGATGTCTCACGACTCCACGTCTCTGGCCGCAACTACGACCCTGAAACCAGAGGCCCCAAGCTTGGCTTTGAACAGGATCCAACCCTCAACCTCGACAAGCCAACACTCGAAGAGCAAGCTGCCAAAGTGGAAGCAGCGGTCAAGCAAAAGGCGGCAGAAGAAGCCCAAGACGATCAAGGTGTCGATTTATTCAAGCTACAGCCGAAGAAGCCGAACTGGGACTTGAAAAGGGAACTTGATAGGAAGATGGAAGTTCTCAACGTCCGAACCGACAACGCCATTGCGCGCTTAGTTCGCGATCGTATCACGGGTGCACAAAAGGCTGCCACGAAAAGAGACGCGGTCGTGGACGCTCAAGGCACTGGAGAAGCAACCGGCATGGATGGTGTGGCATTGGTAGAAGGCTTGAGGGTCAGGGAGAAGGAGGAGGAGGAGGAAGAGCGTCGCGAACGGGAAGAAGATGCTGCACTGGGGGTATGAAAAAGCAGCATCTAGCCTTTAGACGTCGAGGTTCTGCCTCGCCGCCCTTTTTATTACATCTTAGGGGTCTGGCGCATTGTGCGATGACGGTTACACTATATTTACATTTATACCCAACAATTCATTATCTTCCACCCTTCATAGCTTGCGTCATAGCTAACCGTTGACTGAAAGGACTCAAGCTTCGTTCTCGTGCTTGATTCCCAGGACCCGAACCTCCGTGCCCATGTCTTCTGTCATCAAACCTTCCACGAGGTGGCAGTCTCTCACGGTCATGCCTAGTCCTGGATCGATCCGGCCTCTCATCAAGTCTGCCTCTCGATTGGGGCGACCTTGGGCTCCCAGAACGTCGACGACGAAGGCTATGAGGGCTCCGAGACTCCAATGGATTCTCCTTAGGATGCCTCGCTGGCGCGCTCCTCTTGACAGAAGGTAAAGGGTCCCGGGACCTGTACTGGTCACGACGGTCAAAATCTTCAGGAGATGGGCTGCGACCAGAATCGGAACACCTGTGTCGAGCTTCCGCACGAGGGCTTCGGCTACGTTTCAGGCTGTGACTGCGGCTGCGGCTGCGACTGCGGCTATCAACTCGCCTGCCACGCTGTGAGTCCTCTGAATAGGGGCTTCGATTTCGTGGCGGCTGTGCAGGAGGTCTGGCCCTATCTTTACCAGGTGATCGTGATCGCGAAGCGCCAGTGGATATGGTAGAAACTGAATGAGAAGACACTGATCCACGACGTTTTGCGTTTGGCTCAATCAGCTCATCGTCTCTCTGTTCTTGCTCGCGCTCGCGGGCGCGTTCAGCTTCTAATTTAGCCAGCTCTTCATCCGCCACACCTTTCCTGTAGGGCTGTTAGTAAGTAAACAGACCTTTGCTACCTTTAACTAACTTTTGCTCGAGAGGGTTCAATGTCTCATTTGTGAGCTTAGGCACCAATTTGGGATTTCGGAACTGCTGAGATCGCGAAGGACGTGACACGTATGGACGCTCTTGAGCAGTGGCTTTACACTCATATGAGTAGTGGCGTTCTGGGATGGTCAGCATGATTGCAGAATCACATCGAGGTCAAAACATATCTCTCTTCAAGCATTTCTGGCACTGGACGCTAGAAGGTGTCGACCGGGATGGGCCACCGCGGCCTCTGTAGGTGAACATCTGGAAATCGGAATGGTCTCTGTGTAGCGAAGAACCTCTCAAACTATCGTGTACAAATGTGTCAAAAATATGGCGCCTCTGTAGGTATTACGAACGGCAAAAGAACTGATGTAATTATTGAGTCGTGATTGCTTGGAAGGCCTCCTGGTGATATCTCTGAGTCACGTGACGCATATTCTCACACTGAGGAGCCCGTCTTGAGTAGACTCCATTCCTAGGCACCTAGCAGGAAGAATAGGTCAGGTAACGTTTCAAAATTCCCAGGCACTCTAAAGGTAGATAAATACCTTCTTAATAATTATCGCGTGCTTCCTTATTGCATTGAGTGCCGTCCACAGATTCCCGCCCAGAATTTCTGTAACAGCCTCCACTATAAAAAGCGACACTGACCTGTGACTGGTCCGCCCCCTTTCATGTCAGGCGGGACATACTGGTACCATCTTTAGTGATTCTTCAAGCGTCTCCCAGCGTACCCTCTCGCTGTGCCCTGCCGTGCCGCTCGCTCCACAGCGATGGAAGTGGCAGCCCAGGGCAGGCGGCCAGACTGACAATTGAGACGCCGTCCTTGTGACAACCTCCTCCCACGGGTCCCCCTCCAAAACTTCAACTAACCAACTACATCCAATCCAGCACACCAGCATCACATCACATCGCATTGCTCGTCTTTGCTGCCTTGTGCGCCTCGGGCCGCCTTTCTCAAGAATTAGCTGTCGTCAATTTTCAGTCGTCTTTCGCTTTTCCGCCCTTTCGCCTTGTTCGGAACCTGGGCGTTGCAAGGATATTGCTTAACTTTCCTCTTGACCTCCATCCCCCGATTTCTGGTCCTGTCTCATTGCAAAAAAAGAGGGCCGCACTACAGCATCACAGGTTGGGCAGCCAAAAAGGCGTACGACAACCATCATCTCTTCCTCCGAACAGAATCAGTTGGGGAACAATGCATCTTACTTTACGACGATGAGCACCAAGACTCTGTTTTCTTTCTGCCGGTCCGCTTCCATTAAATTCGCATCCTGATTTTCCTGATACTGTCCTTTCTGTTTCTGTCATCACCGCTGCAGTCTCAGCCGCAGCCTCATCTCGTACCTGGTCAACCATTGCTCCCAGTCTTCTGTCTCATATTCTTATCGACATTTCTACCGCCTGCACTACTGGATCGGCCTTGTAACATTGACCACAGCCCATCATGGCTACTACTCAAATGTCTCCTGATCTTCCCAAACCCTCGTTTGCCAAGGTAAATACCACACCGTGCTTGGCTCCTCTATAAGTGGTCCTTATCTGTCAAAGGAGCCATTCTTTTTCCTTACCCGGTACTAATTCATGCTGCTTGACAGGTCGCTGCCTCCGTCTCTAAGGACTCCGCACCTCCAGCGATTCGACGGATAGCCACACCATCTAAAGAAGGAACCATGAGCTCGACGACAATACCATCCACATCCACCGCGCCCGTAATCGCAAACGGCCGATCTGGCAAGGCTCCAGTCGCAAGGTTGCCCTCGCCGCAACGGGAATCAAGTCTCAACCTGACCGATCACGGAAGCGGTGAAGACAACCTCGAGAGATCTTTGAAGGACTTGAGCCTAAGGGACAAAGCCCCTAACCTTGTCGTGAACGGTAGTGGACCTTTGGCTCCCGAGAGGCCTGCAGTCGTCGTTGGTAGAGACAGCGGATCCGACGATTCTCAACGAGCTGATTCGAGTTCCGAACTCGGAACTAAGCCTCCCAGTCTGGATGGAAAGAGTATCACTTCAGGCACAACATTTGCACTCGATGAAAAGGAATCGCTAAGACCTGACGATAGCGCCAGTGTCAAGGCCGCTGCAGAAGATGACGATGCTTTCTCTGTACGAGGTTCATTAGTTGCGGGATCTCGCATGGGCTCAGAGGTAGCCCCACGAGCTCGAATGCTTCACCTGGGCGATATTCCGGAGCGAAGGCTACCACAACCAGTTCCAGGCACTACAGCTCAAGGAGTCCTGACTCCCCAGAGCTCATCATCTGAACAACCCCCCGGTGTACCCATGGGTACTCCTGGCTCCTCAGATGCCCTTGGTGTCATCTATCGGCAGGCGCCGGATGATAAACTTCTAGAAGCCATGGCATCGCCCAAGGACAGACTCTTTCTATTGCGGCTGGAGAAACAGGTCATTGATTTTGTGCAGGATTCCAAGTATGTATATGATCACAAATTCATTCATTTTTTACTAATCATCTTTTTTTCTTAGAGAGCCCTACATGGACCTTCCACCGTCCAACTCGTTCTGCAGAATGCTAACACATAAGCTGGCGGATTACTACCATATGACACATTCATTTGAGCCTCACGTGGGGTCTGTACGAATATTCAGGACACCATTTTGTCGAGTTCCCACCTCATTGGCACTTATCAACCCCAGCCCTACTGTGCCAAATAGCAGCACTCCACCTCCTGTTGTTCTACCCAAGAAGATAATGCGACGCGGCCAAGATAGTGAAGGTGGCCCAAGTGCTAGCCCCTCTAAGCCAACTTCTGAGACCGGCAGTGATGCTAAGGATAAGCCCGCGGCGAACCAGAAGTACGTACAATTCCATGATGTGTTAACAGTTACTCGAGCTCACCAGCTTTAGACTTACTAGGGAAGAGCGAGAGGAGCAGTATAAATTAGCACGTGAGCGCATTTTTGGCAGCTCAGAAGACAGTGTCACGGGTAAGTAATGAAGCAATGTCAGTGAGGAACACTTTTTGACAGGAAAAATAGAAGAGGGCGACAACGGCGTTTCAAGAGCCAGTTCAGTGTCTGCCAAGGACAAGTCCAATATCGGAAAACGGGGTAAAACTGGTAAACAACGACGTGATGATTCGGACAGCTTCGATTCACGACATCAGTACACGCCCTATTGGGGGCCTCAGCAACAGACTTGGATATCCCAACCGCAGTACATGCCGCCCCCCAATACTCAATACGGCGCCCAAGCACCACCAGGGCCAGTATACCCAGGTCAAGTCGCACCTGTCTACACACATCAGGGTCCCGGATACCCTGCGATGCCAGCTATGCCACCAAATCAGGCATATCCTCAGTACTCAGCCCCTCCGGTAAGTTCCATATGAGAACAACATGAGCAGAATAGCGACTGATCTGTCCCACTAGTATGCTCCTCAAGCCGCCCAACAGCGCTATCCTTCTGGTGGAAGCCCTATGACTAACTACGGTGCACCTGTTCCTCCGGTTGGCCCGCAGCAACCTGCTTGGCAACCGGGCCTTGCTCCTCCTACTCAATACCAGGCGAGGGGAGGCACCCCAACCGGTCCTCAAGGGCATATGGGAATCCCTTATGCATACGGACAGCTCCCAGCAAATATCAACCCCCATGATCCCAAGAGCCAGCACCCAATTCCTGGCAGTTATAATCGCAACCACGCCTTCAACCCCAAGACACAATCGTTTGTGCCTGGTAGTGGGGGTGGCATGGCTCCTGTCCAGCCTCCACAGCCGCCATTCACCGCTCCCGGATCGCATCATGGCAGTCCTCAAGTTGGCTCACCTCATCTAGCCTATCCTGGCGGTTATCAACAGCCAATGTCTCAGCCTTATGGGGGCGGATATGGTATGGTAAGGCAGGGGTCTAGCAACTCGATGCCTGCGTATTCTTCTCCTCGCGTTGCTCATATCCAACACGCACCGCCGCCGCCGCCTGTGATGCCGCAGAACCCCCCACACATGGCTCCCCAGCCTCTGGCCCCTCATTATAGTATCCCCAATCGACCTAACATCCCACAAGTACCTAGCCAGCCCTTCTCGCATTTGCCGACATATGGCAACCCCGCCACTCTACCCCAGAAACCAGCTACTGGAATTTAAACATTGTCATTGTTAAAAAAAAGGGGGGGAGCATGATGTGGTGTTAACAAGTTGGGAGAACCACAAGGCGTACACGGTATATTAAGCATCTTGGCGTTATCGGTGGACAGGATGGACGACATGAATTTGTAGGCCAAGGGCCAATTTACTAGATGAGTTCAATACCACTTCGATATAATTCTTCTTGGCGTTGAAGATTAAACCAGGGCCTGGCGGAGAAGAAGATAGTTTTATATGACGATTGAATTCGATTCTATGGCCAGGAATGCCAGAATTTTCATGCCTACCACAACGCCATGATTTTATTGAAACAATTGACCCATGCTTCATCTCACATCCATCCATGCATGCCAGGGGGAGATATCCTAGACTTTCCTTGTCTTCGGGACATCGCCTTGCTCTAACCTGGACTCCGATATCTAGTTCCCATTTCTTCTTTTCACGAAATCTCTCTACTCAGCAGGCTCCCGAGGTTCCCTTGGCTCTCGGGGTTCACGCTGCTGGCCACCACCTCGGCCACCACCTCGGCCCCCTCGCTTGCCTCCCTGTCGGCCACCCTTGTCCTCCGATTTGCCCTCACCCTCCTTCTCATTGTTGGCTAGGTTGGCAACAGCCAACCGCTGTGACAGGTCGATCTGAGTGCGAATAGTGTTGGCCAGGTAGCTGACCATGAGAACGTCTTGAATGTGGTTGTTGAAATCATGCTCGATCTGAGAAGGATCGACCTTGGGGGCGAGAGACAGAGCGTTGAGAAGGTATTGGGCAACAGTGTTGTTGGGTTCCTCGTCCTCATCCAGAACTCCGTTAATCCACTCACTCGCTCTGTCGAGAAGGCTGATGGTCTGCTCAATTGATCGACCGAGACCCTCAATGTCAGAGACAAGAGGTGCTGTTCGAGACTCAGCGTCCTTTGCGCTGGCGATAGCCTCGAGAGCACTTCGGTCGGCATCGCCGTAGAGAATCTTGTGGGGGACCTGGATGAAAAGGCAACTGTCGGCAGCACGCTCAGCGTTCACGGCAACGGGGGCGCTGATATAGCATCGGGATTGTATGTCCTCGCCAGGCTCGGTAGAAATGGTCATGTGAATGGCGGGGTGGGGGAATGTGCCGGTGTCAGGGCTACCGAAGAAGTTCTGGATGAGGGCGCTGAAGCTGTTGAGCTCATGAGAGGTGGTGTACCAGCCGAGGAGGGACTCGCCCCTGTTAGCCTTGAGGGTCAAGGCGAGCATGTTCTTCTGGTATTCGACATCGACCTCGACTTGGTCCTCCTCCTCGGTATGGGGGATAGCGAAGCACGAGCGAACCTCGACTTCGGTGCCATCTTCAGATCGGGTGCCGACAAGGGCGCCAATAACTCTGGTAGATTGCGTATCTCGGATGTCTCGTCGAACGGCATGGTCGAGGATAGAGAGGACAGCCTGTTGAGCAGAGGGCAGATCATGTTAGACAAAGCATATTCCCTTTGAAGAATGTTCTGATCTCAGGATAGAACACAGATAGACAACCAGAGAGGGGGTCATCGCAATCGTACCTGAGGCTGGATGTTGACAGTGAGCGGGGCAAGGTTAGTCTGGATGCCCACGGTGTTGGGCGCCAGAGGCCTCGCCAGGTGAATGAAGCTCTCAGAAGCAGCAGCGGCCATATTGGGCAACTTTGAAGCTGAAGCTATTGGGAGAGGAGTGTAGATGTCTGCGGAGAAATGGGTGAGCCGGGCCGGGTCGTCTTTGGTCACTCTCGCGAACCTGTCCTATAACAAATTTCGCCGATTTTGAAGAATTGCAGGTTTGGCGGGACGCCGCTGGGGTTGTGCGCGCTAAGATATGCGATAAGACTGTTCGTGGCGTTTGCGCTGAGAACCCCACCAAGCCGTGGCTTGACAATGCAAGGCTGAAGGTAGCCTCATAGCTGTTTTTTACAAGTACCATTTTTTGTTTGACGTCGACAGGCTCTTCGGCGCAACTTAACCCAACTCTTGACAATTTATAACGTTCCAACAAATTGAAATCTGCTGGTAAACAGGATAATGCCGCCGCGCGGAAGAGGTGGCAACTTTAGAGGCCGTGGTGGTCGTGGCAGAGGAAGAGGTGGCCGAGGAGGTAAAGCGACAAGCCGATTTGGACCCAACCGAAGATTCGACGGAACTCGACTTGCCGACAATGATGAGTATGGGCATAGATATAACTGGTGACTGGGAAGTTCGCTGACGCATGGTAGATCCCAAAGTTCTGGGTCAGAGTCGGAATCTGCGCCTGAAGACACAGTCATGGAGGACATCGATTCAGAGGACGACGACGATGAACATACAACATCGTCAAAGCCATACATGGCCCTTCTTCAGAGTTTCAGTAACGATAGCAGTGCCCCAGATGCAAAACGACGAAAATTGAACCACAAAAATTCCACTCAATCTCAACCTGAACAAGATTCCTCTGGGGAAGAATCACACGCAGATGACCAAGATGAAGACACTGAAAAAGATATCGATCGTGCTGAGGACGAGGCAGAAGAAGAAGCCGAAGAGAAATTGGATGATAATGAAGATTCGGAAGACGAAGAAAACCCAACAGATCCCTTCGACGTGCATTTTGCGCACCCCAATGACGATGCTGTCTCACAGAGAGTCAAGTCCGTCCAAAATAACGATTGGGCAACGAAACGAGCATTACTACAAAACATGAGAGCAACTATTTTGTGCCCAGGGTCGGATACAGGGTCTGAAATACCAAAACCCATTGCTGGCTTGGAAGGCCTACAGCTCAAGCAGAAGCTTAGAGAGACTTCCACTCGCAAGATTGGAGACTTCGATGCCCTCCAGCGCAACCTGGGCCCTTTGGTCTTCAATTATAACGATGTACTGTTTTGCGATCGAACAGTACGGAACTCAGACTCATTGCGAGAATTGGCATGTCTACATGCTCTCAACCATGTCTTCAAGTGAGTCGATCAATTTGACATTTCATATAAGCCCTAGCCGCTAATCAAAGAAGAACTCGAGACCGTGTTATCAAGAATAACTATAAATTGGCCAAGGAGGGCCAAGATGCCGACCTAGAATTGCGAGATCAAGGCTTTACCCGTCCCAAGGTGCTCTTCCTCTTACCAACACGTAACTCAGCTCTTCGGATGGTGAACATGATCCGTGATATCTGTGAGCCAGATCAGCAAGAGAACCGCAAGCGATTTGACGATGGATATGTCGACAAAGAGGCCAAGTTTGGCGCCGATAGACCGGCTGACTTCAAGGATCTTTTTGAGGGAAGCGATGATGACATGTTCCGTCTGGGCATGAAGTTCACTCGCAAGACAATCAAATACTTTGCGCAGTTCTACAACTCAGACATACTCTTCGCCAGTCCGCTCGGCCTTCGTATGGCTATCGGCTCTGAGGAAGACAAGAAGCTTGACTTTGACTTCCTGAGCTCTATTGAGATGGTCATTGTCGATCAAGCGGATGCACTTCTCATGCAAAATTGGGAGCACGTCGAATTCATCTTTGAACACATGAACCTCCAGCCCAAGGATGCACACGGTTGCGATTTTAGCCGTGTTAGAAACTGGTATTTGGAAGACTGGGCAAAATATTTCAGACAGACTATCATCATGTCTGCCTTTAACACCCCCGAGCTGTCTGAGCTTCTTCGATTACACTGTCACAACTGGGCTGGAAAAGTCCGGCTGCAGCCCGAGTATCCGGGCATGTTGTCGCAACTTGGTATCAAGGCGAAGCAAACCTTCTCTAGGTTCCAGTCCAGTTCGGTCGATAAGGATCCTGATGCTCGATTTGAGTATTTCACCTCTGCCATTGTTCCCTCGCTTGCAAAGCGGGCAAAGGATGCGACTGGAACACTCATTTTTATCCCCTCCTATCTGGACTTTGTCCGAGTGAGGAATTACTTTGCGACGTCGAGCGCGGTCGAAAACGTCACCTTCGGTGCCATCTCCGAATATGCAGACGTACCAGAAGCCTCGCGGGCGCGGTCACATTTCCTCAACGGGCGCCATCGCGTTCTGCTCTACACTGAGCGAGCGCATCATTTCCGACGATATCAGTTCCGTGGTGTGCAGCGAGTCATATTCTACGGATTACCTGACAAGCCCATCTTCTACACTGAAATTGCGGGTGGGTATCTTAGCAAGAGTGAGCAGGATCTGAGACTTGAACCTGGTCAGGGAACTGTCAAGGTTGTGTTTTCAAAGTACGATGTGATGAAGTTGGAACGGATCGTGGGTTCCAAGAGAGTTGGTAAGATGATTCAGGATCGCGGCGATACCTTTGAATTCATTTAGATGCATCTTGTATCAGGGAGCATAATTGTATGGTTGAAAAGTTATTAGAGCTAGGACAGCGTATCAAGTGCGCCTTTTTGAAAGCACCATGGTTTGACAAAAAGACAAGCATGTCATGATGTAAATAATTTATACAGATTTTGTACAGAGTCTGGCCCCCTTCGTAATATGATATACATGTCGCTTCTATGGCGAGTTCTTCTGTTGCGCCGCCTTTCTCACCGACTCCGGTACGATGCCAGCGGCCATTTCCTTTGCCCGCTCAGCATTCTTGTCTGCCGCCTTCTCGGCCTCAGCTTCGGCCAAACTACTCTCATCCCGTGATGGTCCAGTCTTCTCACCAGTCTTCAAGATCATAAACCTCCGCACCATCTCCTCAAACGGCACCTCGCCGCGGAACTGTGTGACTTTCTTGATGTTGGTTCTGGTGACAGGAGTATGCTCTTGCCCTAGCATTCGGTCGCGGGCAACTGTTTTGGCAGTCATCATGAACCGTGAGTCCTTTGGGCCGTCGACGAATTCAAGGATGGCGCTCTCGCCCTGATCATATGTGTTCTTTGACTCGGTGCGCACGACGCGAGTATAGCCTCCCTCTCGGGTCGAATATCGGTTTCGCAGCTCGCCCAGCAGTTTAGGTAGGGTTGTGGTGGGTGTCTAGCGAAGAACCTTACTGTTAGCATGGCTTCTCTGCATAAGCCCCTGTGATATACATACATATAGGATACCCTGTGCTGATCTCCGTGCAGGCTCGTTGTCCCTCTTCGCCAGTGTGATGAGCTTCTCTGCCATGCGTTGGGCTTCCTTTGCCTTGGCATAAGTTGTGTGGATATGTTCGTTTTGGACGAGTTGAGTGACCAGACCGCGCAGCAGGGCCACACGGGCTGCTGAATTGCGACTCAGATGTCGGTACTTGACAGTACCACCAGCCATTGCCACGGATGGTTATAGCGGTAGCTGACCGGGGAAAGGTAAAAGCGGTGCTCGAATTATTAAAGGTTTGTTCGATGGTTCGTCGCTTTGCACGTGGGCAGCTCTAAATCCGTCCAAGATACGGACAGTATCTTGGTGAGTTTTTGGTGGAGGGAAATTTTTGGCTGGGCCTTTTTCGGAGCCGGCTTGTCTTGTCCGCCGACAGAGCCTTTGCACTACGTCAACCCACCACCAACAGAACCTCTTCAACAGCTCTCCAAAGGGGAAATCGCACGCGTCACGAGGGCAATTGGGCTCGCGCACGCTATGAAACGCTGTATCTAAGCTTCATTCGACCCTCACTCCTGGATTGGTCGTCTCTGATACATCAAGAACCCGGCAAATTACCGCATCTCGGTCAACCGGGCAAAGGCTCTACATCATGGGCTTCACCACTGGTTTTGTACGCAACTCGATGAGCCATGCATTATATCGTATGCTAATCTCGACTATTAGACCGGCGGCGTCACTCTCACCCTCTCCCTCGCCTACCTCTCTGTGCTTGCTCACCAGCGCACCCGTGAGCAACAAGGCTCTGCCCTTCGCGCACAAGCTCTCGCCATCCAAGGGTTGATCGATCCTCTTCCCCCACTGCCTCCGCCCACACGGTCTGAAGTCGCCGCTGCTCAGAGGGCTCAAACCGTTGAGATTGCCAAGGATCGATGGAACACCGAAGTTGAAAACGCCGTGCGATGGGTGCAGCACACTGACTGGGTTCAAGTGCGCGAAGGCCTCGAAGATACTGCCTCACGGCTATGGGCCCGAGCCTTTGGTGTTAGCCCCTCGGAAGCTGTTGGCGAGGCCGGAAGAAAGGTTGCGGAGACTGAGCAACAAGCCAAGCCCATCGTAAAACAGGGGGCTGCCAAGCTTGGTGATGCTAGTGGAAAGGTAGCGGCAGCGGCCAAAAGCGCTTTCCAGAAGGCCAAGGCCGAGAGCCAGGATTTTGCCAGTGTTGTTCTGGATCACAGCAAGGATAAGGAGAATGTCGATATTGCTCAGGAGGACGGTACTCTTTCAGCATTGACTCCCGTGGAGAGGGCCCTTCAGCAACGATTCAGCAAACCCGAGGACAAGGTGAACAAGACAGTTGAAGAGGCGTTGAATGACAGATACAAGTCCCTGGACGCGAGGGATAACACTCAATTGAGAGGAGTCTGAAGGAAAGTCGTTGAACAAAAGGTGGGCTGGTTGATGATGAGTGGGTGAACGGTGTGAATATTTGTTGTACATTGCTATCTGTACCACCATTTCTTAGAGTCACTCGAATAGAAACCAGGCTTAGAAATGCTTGGTATGAGAAACCGAGTTGTTGCGTCAAGTGAGTAATGTGACCAAAGCTCTTGATCACCTCTCAATGCGAACTACCTATATACAGACCCCTTATTTGCAAACAACTCCTCTTTCTATGAGGTTAATTGCGGCTTTCCTTCTACACATACTAACAGTCATATAATAACACTAGACTTATGGACGAAGGGACAATGGCTGGCGATGACTCCAAAGGAGGGACAAGCAACGGCAAAAGCCACTACAGTAAACGCCAGCATAGCAGCAGTCATGCCGAGGGCCACCACCGCAAAAGTCATCATGATAAGAGCAGTAGGCCGGATACAGGCACCGTGGCTACCGAGGACTTATACGGCATGGAGTCGGGGGCAATGAAAAAGAAGAAGCGCCGCCGTCGTCGTCCCAAGCCTAATCCGAGACTCCCAACTGACTTCCTTGCCCTTCTGTGCTGGGATTCTTGGCTCCCGTGGCCAATTGATTCCAAGAAAACCCATGTGGACAATACATCGCGCAAGCATAAGAGGTCTAGGAAGAGAACATCTCACCCGGGCACCTCACATCGTGTGCAATCTTGGGTTCAGGAGGTGTCTTCTCAAGTGACGCCCTCCGAGCCTCCGATACCATCAACTGTGCCATCTCTAGCACCATCAACTCCCCCTTCACATCCAGTTTCGCCATCCCCCGGGCCTCAGCAGGGAGCAAAAGCCGAAGAAGCTGAAGAGGCTGCTTCGAATAACGGTAAGAATATGGTTAGAGGTGCACCCCAATCATGTAATACTAACTTTAGTGAAAAGGGCGGACCAAAGAATAACTCAGTACCAGTGCCATTAACTCTAGTAGAGCACAACGGCTTGCAGATCAATTGGTGGTCTCAAACCATGGGCCTAGCTCCTGATAAAAAGAAATGGGACCTTGAAGTGTCTTCTGATGCCCAGCATGATATGGAGGTGACAAGGTTCGGAGAAACGACCTCACAGCTGGTCCTTTTGATGGCAGAACTTGCTTATGCTAGAGAGGGATTTTTTGGGATATAAGTTATTAGATAGAAAAGACTGTTACAGTTATTTTTGATCAATAATATTATGTTACTCTAATATAAGTAGTCGGATATTAGGGGTAATAAAATAAAGTAGATACTCTTTCGTCCCTTTAACAGATATCTAGAACCTCCCCTTCCCGCTATTATGTACCTGATAACGCTGATCTACCTCAGGTAAAAGTATCATTCATGGCTTTGCTGGTTGATGCCTCAGGTAAGCGGCCGCAACAAACCTACCTAGGTACCTAAGGTAGGCAAGTACGTTCTAACATGAGGTATGTGCTTTCTTAGCTATTCTCAGATATTTGTTTGTCTTTGTGCTTCATCCATCACTCACCAACAATATGCTTTTCGGCACACAGAGAACCGGCCTTGACGTGTTGTTGGATCGTCCTCGCCCCAACAAATGGCAACAGTTCTGGTCCAAGCCGTACATCTTTCTTGCACATTTCTTCTACTCTCTTCGTCAGATTACCCACGAGCCTCCCGCAAACCCCATCTCTATTGTGTGTATATCAGATACGCACAATTCTCAACCTCGTCTACCGTTTGGAGATGTACTCATTCACGCCGGAGATCTTACACAGTCAGGGTCATTAGGAGAGCTAAAGGCTACTATTGCTTGGCTCAACTCTCAACCACACACACACAAGATCATCGTGGCAGGGAACCACGACATACTGCTCGATAAAGGCTGTGATCGTCGACAGGAATCAACAGCTGAAAGACAAGGGCTAGATTGGGGAGGTTGTATTTATCTTCAGAATGAGACTACAACTATCACCTGCAGCAATGGCCGAAACCTAAAGGTATATGGAAGTCCTCTATCACCTCGCCACGGAAATTGGGCGTTCCAATACTCGCGGAGCCAAGATGCCTGGTCAAATACTGCTCCGAACGATATTAACGTTCTCGTCACTCACGGCCCTCCTTTCGCTCATCTCGATCTAAACCTCGGGTGCCATTACCTTCTCAAAGAGTTATGGCGCATCCATCCTCTGCTGCATGTTTTCGGGCATGTACATGAAGGATACGGTCAGGAAACTGTGGTTTTTGATAGATTACAGAAGACATACGAGGAGGCTTTATGTGACGGGACCTTCTGGAGCTTACTGAAGGTATTCAATGAGTTTTTAAGGTCGCTCCTATTGAGAAAGAAGCTAGCGATGACGACTTGTCAACTTGTGAACCCAGCAATGGTCGGTGGACTTAGGGATGAAGAGAAGAGAAAAGCAATCAAAATCATTATTTAATTATCTTGTCAAAATGACTAAGAGAGTACTTAAGTATCTTGGGCTCTGTTCTAAATAAAGGCCACATGCGGCCCAGAAACAAATACACTCATAGCCAGGAACTCAGCGCTTCGGGGTCTGACACTTGGCTTTTCACCAGAAGAGGTTTGGATGTTGGTTTGCTCATCTAGACGACGTACAGCCATGGCCCAGGATGGTTGAAGTTCAAGAAACCCACGGGCAGTCCCGCCTTAGCTTTACACCGGCGATGATTGCAGGACGACACCGTGGTAAGCCTCTTCTGATAAGTCGACCGAAGGCCTTTGCGAGACAGATCGCATAGCGGGCCGAGTCTCCATCTTTGGAATACCAAAATGGACGAAGTTCCCCAGGCCATCAACGATTTATATGCAAAATCCTCTAGGGTTAAGGCTCCTATCACCTAAAGATTTGCAAATTCATAAAGCTGGGGATGATGATATTGACCCAATGAAGCTTTGCTTCCTGAGGAGCAATGAATGTAAATTATACTAGACTTTAGGGATGCCTGGATACATCTTTCGTGGCTGACTTAGAAACGATAAAAAGAAAATTATAAAACTCAGGGATGAAACTAACGCATAGGCCGAGGGCACTGAGAAGCATCGCTTATTCGTGAGAAAGCAGTCTGTCTATGATTCCACGATCCGAGGAAATACCAAACATTGGATCACGCGATCAGGAGCTCGCTCAGTAATACTAATACGGCCGCGGGGAGAAAGAAAACTCAGGACCTTGACCTTGATAATAAAATAAATATTTAGGTAATTTAGTCTAAGTTTAGGGGGCTCTTTACTAAGTTTATTTTAGCACCCTCATCTGAAGTCTTAAGCTAGCTCTCCAAGAACATGTAGTTATGGCATCCATGTCTTTGCGGTGACATCTCCGGAAAACCCCCCACTTGTTCCGGCCTACCGGCAACGGCCTGGAAGATAGAGCGTCAAGGGCGGAGCAGGGACACGGAATTAGAAAAGTCGGAGCCGTTATTGGCTTGCGGGGTTGAGGGCACGGCTGGCAGTTTTCCACGGCTTCTCTTTTCTAAATGAGTCAATGGATTGATCTAGTTAAGGGATCTTTGGTAGACTTTAGACAGTTTCCGGGACATGCAATTAAGAGATTCATCAAACTTGAGACTATCACCTGGCGGCAATTGGTCGAATTGTCTTGTCAGAACGGCCCCTCCGAATCTACCCTTGTAAGAAGAAGAAAACCCACAAACAGAAGGATTCCGAGGTTGCGAGGTTCTTTTCAGGGTCTCTCTGCTGGTTCGATGGCAGTGAAGCGAGGTCGGCAGTCGCCGGCACAGCTCAGCTAAGACAGTTGAGGAAATTTTCCAGTGGCAAGCGAATGCGATTGGGCAATAAAATGGAGCTGGTGGGTGGTTGATCCCTCTGATTGGATATGCCACAGACTTTCCGAACTTGACCGATCACGCCGCGTGCAAATGCGCAAGACGGAAAACCATCGCTGACGGGCTCAGTTATACCAACGCTCTCATTGGCAATTGCTGTTCTATCTAAGATTCTGGTCCCCGACGCTCACCTTTATCATCTCTTCCCTCCCCAACGGTCAACTTACCTCTTGTTTACTCTACTCCTTCAATTCAAGTCCTCTCGATACCCCTTGTCTCGCTGTTCGTGATTTGCGTTGTTTCATCTTCCAATCGTCATCCTTCCGACCTGTTCCGCTCATCACAAGGACCCCCAGTTAACCCTCCGTTGACTTTTTGGCCACCTAACGCCCGAGGCCCGCCATCTATCTGTTTCGCCCTGAAACTTTCGCCGCTCTTCAACCTTTCAAAACCAACCATCGCCTCTCCAAAACACCATCAATCGTAGTCGACATCATGTCTTTCTCCAGCCTTGTTCAAGACTTGAGCCTTCGCGACTCCAATGGCGCTCGCCGCCCTCAGATCCCCGGTCCCCGCTCGTCCGTTTCGACTCTCGATGACCGAGCTTCACACGTCTCGCGTGCCATGTCCTACACCAGCACTGCTGCCACCAGCGTTAGCATTTCCGGCGACATTTCAAGCCAGCTTCATGGTGGCTACTTCCACCCTCTAGCCCGCTCATGGCAAGCCGAGCGTCAACTCACAAAGGTATGGAGCGTAATTGAGCCCTTAGTAATTAAGGCCGAGGTGATTAACATGATATATTTAGTCCATGCTCATCTACCCTCTCTTCGTCACCGATGGTGAAGGCGACATGATTCTCGTTCCTTCTCTACCCGGCCAGCACCAGCTTAGCTGTGACAAGCTGATTCCGTTCCTCGAGCCTCTCGTTCACAAGGGCCTCCGCTCTGTTATGCTCTTTGGTGTCCCCATGCAAACTGGTACAAAGGACGCCCTAGGTACCGCCGCCGACGACCCCGAAGGACCTGTCATCAAGGCCATCCAAATCATTCGCCGCCGTTTCCCACAGCTCTTCATCTGCTGTGATGTCTGTCTTTGCGAATACACTTCTCATGGCCACTGCGGTATTCTCCGTGATGATGGCAGTCTGAACAACCAGTTGTCTGTCGACCGTATCTCTGATGTCGCCATCGCTTATGCTAAGGCTGGCGCTCACTGCGTGGCTCCTTCAGACATGAACGACGGCCGCATTCGCGCCATCAAGCTTAAACTGATTGAGGAGGGAATTGCCCACAAGACAGTTCTTATGTCGTACTCGGCCAAGTTCTCAGGCTGCTTGTATGGCCCCTTCCGGGATGCCGCCGGCTCAGCGCCTTCATTTGGTGACCGCAAGTGCTACCAGCTTCCTCCTGGTGGTCGTGGCCTCGCACGACGTGCCATCGTGCGAGATATCAACGAGGGGGCTGATATTATCATGGTGAAGCCTGCTAGTCAGTATCTGGACATTATCAGTGATGCCAAGGACCTGGGTAAAGATCTTCCCGTGGCTGCATACCAGGTCAGTGGCGAGTATGCCATGATACATGCCGGAGCCAAGGCTGGAGTCTTCGATCTCAAGGCCATGGCTTTCGAGTCAACAGAAGGCATTCTTCGAGCTGGCGCTACTATTGTGGTCAGCTACTTCACCCCTGACTTCCTCGACTGGCTCGAAAACTAGGGTTTGCAAATTATACATGATATACACTGAGATTTATTTCAAGGCGTTGGCAGGTGTTTGGGAAGAAAATGTGGGCGTTTCATAAATGAAGAAAGGGAGCAAGGGATTTGATTACATTATGTCAAAAAGGACTATACGATTGCAAGCAAGAATCACTCGCTAATGAAAGACAATATATACATACGAACTTGGTGTTAAAATATCGACTTTGTGTCACTGGTGCTTATTATGCATGACACCGATAATCTCAGCAGCTTTCAACAAATATAGCTAGGTAATGGATTGACAGGAGTGCAGGCTGAGTTGAAGATGAAATACAGATTGTATAGTGTGGTGGGCCATGACAAGGAAACGAAGCGTATCTGCCAGGCTCAACCAATGCCACTGAGATTCGGATTTGGGCGAATGGCAAGCACAGATGACGTGTCGTTCGTTCAACTCATATCAAGATGAGGTCGACGAGAAACTAGATGGCTGGCAATGAAGCGGGATAGTGATAGTCGTGTCGATCACAGCATACCTTGAGGCTTGGGGCCATGAGGCATGAACAGAAGCAGGGCCACAGGGCGATCCTACAAGATTAGTATCCGTAGATGCGAGATAGGACCCGGCAAGCTTATATGTTTTACGGTACGAGGTAGCGAGGGTTGGTACCTTGTGATCAGTTAGGTATTTAGGTACTCACGGTATTTGGCAGACTGAGGCACATATGGAATGATCAATACTGAGGTAAACAGTGCATAGCACCTCATGCGTAAATTCAAAAACACGGTAACAAGATGCAACATGAACACTGCCTGTCTATTCGCCAGCCCCTATCGTCTACGTTGGAAATCTGGGTCCTCTTTTTTTGTCGTCGTCAGCTGTGAGCTCATGATCCGCCGTGTTGACGCGCCGGTAGCTCTCTTTCCCTTCCCTGAAGCAAAGCCCAGTTTTTCTCCACGTGAGAGTTCAGTTGTCGTGTCAGAGAGCGCGAAGAGGGAAACAAGCTTTATTGTTAGTTTCATGTTGACAATTGAGATCGGTCCCAGAGAAGAGGACGTGAGATCGAAGTCTGGACGAACCAACAAGTTTGCCAAGTATTGATCGACTACGCGCCATGCTAGTATCCTCAATGATCTCTCGGTTCACATAGAGCTTGACTCAGCCCGCCGCATGAGTTATGCTAGAGGTTATACATAATTAGCTCTTTACGGTTTACTAGGATGGTGTTATGTTTGAGTTACGCTTCACCGGGAATTTAGTCGAGCTGTAACGCCGGGAATACTACCTTGTGTGCCGCCAACCGTTCGTCTTGGATGGCAACTTGAAGTGGTGCAGACGATAGATGATGATGGGCCGTGTGATCATCAGGGCGGATCTCCCATCTTGCAAAACGGAGGATGTGCTGTTCCTCAATGGCTCTGTCGTAAAGTCGAAGCCGCTTAGCCGTGTCAAACATTTATATGTGACCCTTGAAGCTATGTACTGTTCAGATGAGACAATATCTGGTGCACCGTTGGAATGCCTGCACCACAGTCCAGGTCTCCATAGCAGTTGAAAGGGTATGGGAGGCTATAGTACCTCACGTACGCGCGTTTCTGAGGGAGCATCCCAGTATCTGGAACCCTACATGTTGTAAATAATTGGGCCTGGAGGGACGTTATCATATTTGTGTGGTGGGTCCATGTTGAGGCCGGTTCAACGTCAAATGCAAATGAAGAATAACAATAGAGCCATTGGACTGATTGGAAAATATCTGAGAGCCTATAATTGCTAGAGTATGTAACAACAATCAAGGTAGCTAGTATTAAGAAGTCAAGAATTATCCTACGAAAACAGGTGCGTACCGAGTTAAAGTAATCCAATAGACGAAAATAAAGAAACAGCCAGATTTACAGGGGTAAAAAAACCTTGGCTTTTTCTTAGCCAATGCTTAATTACTTACCTGAACCGACACCCCAGTTTTAAAATAGATGTCTCACCTTGGCGTGGAAAATCAAGGTACTGTACATTGTCTTTGTCAGCGGATGCCGTCGGAAACCTCTATCGTCTTTTGATACACACATGATGTTTTAGGTGTGTTTCTTTAAGCCGCATTATCCATCTACCTACCTTATACAACGATAGAACGTTATGGAATTCTACTATCACGACACTTTCTATTTCATGCTTAAACTGATATCTGAGGAAACTCGGTTATCGGCATCATATCAAGCACTTGTCATGCAATCATCAACCATCTTTTGCTATACAAACTCCACAAAGATGCTGCAGATCTCCTTGCTTCGCCCCTGGTCCTGACTAGTATGCGGCTTGAACTGTCGAAGATCGGTAGTTGGGTGGGCGCAGTGTGGATATGCATTCATGGCATTTATAACCAGTGTTATACTATTATGTATGCATATGAGGAAGCGAAGCAGGGCGTTTCAAGGCGAATCAAGACGTTGAAACACAGCATGTCTCCAGTGATGGACGTTTGGCTCACGGGACGGTGCAAGTTGATAGGCTCCCTCTATCCGTTTGGGTGAACAACTGGAGCTGAAGCTGGAACAGGAACTGCAGGTGTCTGTCACTTGTATAGTAGTGATACTGTGAGATACTGTATGACCCTGACTCCCAATCCCAACCCCAACACTACCTTATGTATACCATAGTCTGCCTTTTCCCTGTTTCCTTTTCTTCTGCGTCGTCGTCGTCGTCGTCGCCCTTTGTTCTCTACATCAACGGCCGTGTTTCTTCAGTACCTACCTACATACAAGAGATCCCCTGGTGGCCATCTCTTGGCATCTCTAGTCCTCGCTCTCATCCTCGTTTCCTCCTCCACAGCTGATCTCTCGGCAAACACTCGTCCAGTTCCTCCAGTTTTTGTTTTACTTTGGTCAAAACTGTTCCATTTGTTCCCTTTCCTACCTACCTACCTTATACTGGTGATTGAACGATTATCACGCTCCTTCCATTTCTGTCGTTTGCTGTTCCACGCTTTCCACTTGGTAACCCACGCCCTCTTCTCTCTTTCCCTCTTTCCTTGCTAGGCCACTTCCTTCCTCCTGTCGTTTTCCCATCTCTACCAGACCAGGACCGTCCAAAAGGTCTCTCTGGACTTCCATTTCAACCATGAGTCGTCATTCTCATTCAATACACTCACTCTCTGACGAGGAGAAGATGGGATTGCTCGACAACAGGTCTGTCTTCTCCGACGTTGACAGCGACAGCGGTCGAGATGATCAAGACCACCATCGGCTTCACTTTGAGAAATGGGCCGGCCCCATTCTCGCTCCCGTGGACTACGTTCGTTCAACCCCTTGGAGAGTTTACCTAGTTCGCTTCGCCTGGTTCTTCGTTCCCAGTTATCTTCAGGGACGACATGCTCGGGAACAGATTCGACCGGCCAAGCTCGCTCCTACAGCCTACCTCGACGGCATGCGAGGCGTTGCCGCCCTCGTCGTCTTGTTTTGTCATTTCTTCTACCAGGCATTCGTCATCGCCAAAGGCTGGGGCTGTGACGACGCCCACTACAACATCTTGAAGCTACCAATTATTCGACTGTGGTACCAGGGCCCTCCAGCTGTCTGTCTTTTCTTTGTCATCTCGGGTTATGCCCTCTCCTATCGACCTCTCAAGCTCATCCGGGGCAAGAACACCCAGGACTTCTCGACTACCATGAGTTCTCTAGTGTTCCGACGAGGCATACGTCTATACCTTCCAACCGCTATCTCCACCCTAATGATCGTCTGCTTCATTCGCCTGGGTGTTTACGAATGGACCAGAGAGTTTGCCATGGACCGTACCTATATGAGGAACGTCAGAGAACCCCACCCCTCACGTCTCTCCACAAACTATGCCCAGTTCGCAGAATGGGCAAAGGATATGTTCGATTTTGTCCATGTCTTCGGCTGGAAGACCCACGGTGGAAGTACCAGTGAGTCAAACCATCCGCTTAAATAAATCCTACTAACCATTCATCTAGACTATGACCAGCATCTGTGGACCATCCCTGTTGAGTTTCGTTGCTCGCTGTATCTCTTCCTCACCCTAATAGCCACTGCTCGCCTTCGAAGTCAGTACAGATTCATCACAGTTGCGGGTATAATGCTCTTTACCTACAGAAATTCGCGTTGGGAATTTCTCATGTTCCTCTGCGGCATGGTCCTGGCTGAGATTGATCTTGTCCGCGGCGCCCACGTCTCACCTCCTGCTCTCCCCATCGAGGAGAAGACCCAGTCTAATCAACGCCGTTGGTACCAGAGCGCTTTCTGGGCAATTTTCAGTGTCGCGAGCTTATATCTTATGAGTCAACCCGATGAGGGCGGTGATCGAACTCCGGGCTGGATCTACCTTACGTCGCTGATTCCTAAGTGGTGGGCGGCCGAGAAGTACAGATACTGGCAATGTACGGGTGCTGTTATGTTTGTTCTCGCAGTGAGCCGCTCGTCTGACTGGCAGCGCGTGTTCAACTCTGCCTTCGTGCAGTACTTGGGCAAGATCTCCTATGCCCTTTATCTTATGCATGGACCCGCCATCCATGCCGTTGGATATCATTTCGAAAGATGGTCCTATAGTGTGACAGGTACCGAGGGGCACCGCTTCACTGCTGGTTTCGTCCTGAGCTCTTTCTTTGTGATTCCAACTATCTTTTGGTGGGCTGATATATTCTGGCGAGCGGTCGATATCCCAACAGTCAAATTCGCAAAATGGTGGGAAAACAAGCTTATTGTTAAGTCGGACTAGAGTTCATGGCACCAGAAGAAAACTGATTCGTGATTTTCGGCATTTGAGGTTAGCGTTTTGCAAGCTTTGGTTCTACAGAGGCTGGTCTTCGGAACGAAGACCTATTCCGCGGCGTTTGGGTGGTTGATTTCTATCGCACAAGGGACAGAGGGGGAAGTCCATTTCTTTCACCCCAGGAGAGAGGTCTATGAGATGTCGTGACTTGGTGGCATCCACACGTTCCGTTCAGTTGCTAAAACAGTACCATATTAAAAGAACTGTTAGATCATTTTGTGTGCGAATATAGGTGCAGAGAGGTCAACAAAATACAACTTCTATTTCTAGCTTTGTCATATGTAACCTCGACAATACCTTCTAGATGGTTTTTCTATGGTAAATAGGACCGGAAATCTAGTCATGGTTAGATCGTGCATATACCTTTTTGCCTGCCACCCATGTCTCCTTAACTTTTAGGGTGCGTAAATCATCTACATCATAAGACTCAATAGGTCTATCAAGGACAACCCAATCAGCCAAAGCACCGTCGCGGATGACACCGGCGCGACTATCAAGGAATGCCCCATAAGCAGGAGCTCCAGTGAATCCCCACATAGCTTCATCTAAGCTCAATGTCTCTTCTGTGTGCCAGCCATCAGGGCTATCGTCTGTTCCACGACCCGTATGCGGGCTTCGACGGGTTACGGCGGCGTAGATGCCCTGGAATGGGTTGGGGGGCTCGACAGGAAAATCGCTACCCAGAATCGGATGGGCAGAAAGAACAGAACGCATCCGGTAGGCGGAGGATGAGAGACGGTCTTTACCGAGACGAGCAAGAGCATACTTCATGTCTGATGTTGCGTGTGTGGGTTGGATAGAGGGGATGATACCGACCTCCCGAATCCGTCGCTGATCATCAGGGTGAATTATTTGGGCGTGCTCAATGCGAAAGCGATGTCGGGCTTGACAAGCAGCACGTGCTTCAATCTGGTCGTGAGACTCGTTTGCGGACTGGTCCGGAGTCGAAGGGTGTGCACCCTGAGCAGTAGCCTCATGAAGACACTGCTGGACAAGAGCCGCCTCAAGAGCGTCAACAGCGTTGCGATTGGCAAGATCACCGATAGCATGGATATTGACCTGGTATCCGTCGGCAGCCCAGCGCTTGGTCACATCAGTAAGAGCAGAGGCGTTGATAAGGAGCGAGCCTGAGGTCCACGGGTGATCGGAGTATGGTTCGAGCATGGCGCTGCCCCAGCTTCCGAGAGCGCCGTCTGTCTGAGGTTAGTCACTGCCTTGTATGATTTCGATGGAGACAGGTACCTGCAAATAGCTTGACACTCTGAACTGCAAAGCGATCATCGTCCCGGGCAAACTTGACAGCTTCCTCTGGGCAGTACGAGTTACGCTGAGGACATTCCAACATTGCATAGACACGAAGGGTCCAGTCGTCTCCCGAAGAGAGCTCGTTATAGAGATTCAAAGTATCTGGAGTTGCTCCAGCATCGTGCATGCCAACAAGACCAACCTCGTTAAGGCGCTTCATGGCGGTCTTGACTGTACGAGCCTTGAAGTCCCTGCCAGGTTGAGGCCAAATCGAGATGACCATTTCCATCGCGTTATCGCAGAAAACACCGAGGCCAGGGTCACGGATGATCTCACCTCCCGGGACAGTTTCAGGGAGGTCTGATGGAAGGAGATCGAGAACAGGCTGGGAGACCCAAGTGCAGTGAACATCAATGCGATCAAGCATGAGATAGATGCCGCTGAGCTCTGTATCCTGCGTGATATCTGCCTATGAAGCTTCTTAGTGTGTGGCGGGAAGCTGATAGATATGAGTATCTTACAGCTGTGGGCATACGCCCAAAAAAGGTCTGATCCCATCCAACCCCGCGAACCCAATTGTCTTTCGATCCGGCCCCAGGGTTGGCAGAGATATAGTCTTTGATCCTCGCACGCACCTCCGCGAGAGATTTGGCACCAAACAAGTCAACAGAGTGGAGGAACTCCCCGTACTGGAGCAAGTGACCATGTCCGTCCCAGAGTCCTGGAATCACATAACCATCTATCACGGACTGATCAGCGTCTCGTGGGCCAACAGCAGTAAAGGCGCCATCCGCAACAGTGATGCATTGAGCTTGAGCCTGCTCAGGATCATGTGTTCGGATGGAGTTATAACAATATGTTGCTGAACCTCCCTCGTCCGACGCTGTGAGTGGCTGTTGAAGACGGTATGCAACAGCAAAAGCGACAACTATGAGGGGCAGAACTAGTCCCCATCTGACCAAAGAGGCTGTGACAGCCATCGTCGAACACGTGGCTTATAACTGAACTGCTTCTCCTGATGTAAACAACAGAGCCCAGTTCTGTAAGGGCATTGGATCTTTTGGAGATAGTGATTGTTGGGGTGATGTGGGAGCCATGATTTGATAGCTGTGTGTTTATCGATAAGGATTTCATTGATCTTTAGGTGTGGGGGAAAGCTGCATGGTACGTACGTGAAAAGAGGTTTGCGTCTCAAAGTTTGATTCAGATAGTACGCATCATAGAATAGAAGATATTATTTGTTTATCTGTAAGATATATCTAGAATTATCGCATGTGAAGGTGCCTTGCTTCCATTTAACTTTATGAAAAAGATGTGTGTCAGCCAGGGATCCTTACCTAAGTGCATCTTGATCGTGAGCTTACTTACCCCAGAGCTCTAGGTTAAGTTAGTAGCTAGCTCTCCACATTAATTCGTACCTGAATTGACATCACCAAAAGCTCTGATTGATTTCACAGCTGTTTGCCCGTGTGATGTACTTTTAAGGATACATATGTAAGTGCTGCGAATAGCAGAGCGAATAGCAGCTCTCTGGCTTGCTCTCAAGCACCAAACTCCACTGGTCTTGAACGATAGGAGATAGAGACTTGGGGTTACCGTTTGTGATGGCTTGCGATAACCACTGGCTGAATACGGCGAAAAGGATGCTGCTGTAGCTGATACACTGAAGCGGTAGCCTACTAGATCTATATCTCTAGATGCGTACCTACCTAGAGCTGCCTATATAACCGCATGGCACTGGTAGACTTGATCCGACTGTGTCAGCTTGAGTTTCTTTCCTAGGTATCCACCACTATCATACCAGCAATAACAGTAACGAAAAATAGCTGTCATCTTTACTTACAATTTCGCCATCTACAAAGAAAGAAAAGGCTAAAACCAAGTATGACTCTCTCGCGAGCTGAACTTGAGTCCATCGCGGCTGTCCACGTTCGAGAGCCCCTTCCAGCCGACACCCTCACGGCCGCTTTCAACTCCGAACCATTCATCCCTATTGAATCGATCATCAACCTCCGCGATCTAGGTGGTGTCCCCGGCAGCGCCATACGCTCTGGGTATATCTTCCGTTCTGGTATGCTTGACGCTGCCGCCGCCGACCCAGAAGCTATGGCCTGGCTGGCTGCCAATGTCAAGACTGTTTTTGACCTTCGCAGCAAGGAGGAGCGAGCTACGTATCCCAGTCCAGAAATAAGCGGCGTCAAGTTTGTCTTCTGCGAGCGCGTTGCTGAATACCCCGAGCCTAAGCCCGTTGACTTTGCTGTTGATGATGGCAGAACTGCTTGGAGGGAGCAGCTGATGGCAGTCATAGCGGCGTACAAACCCTCTATCCGAGCAGTCCTCGAACACGTGAGGGACAAACCGAACGAGCCTTGTCTCTTCCACTGCACTGGTAGGAAAATAAATCAAGTTTATATTCAAAGGGTTCTGAAACTAATCGTAAAACTGAGCTGCAGCTGGCCGTGACCGCACAGGCGTCATGGCAGGGCTCCTGCAGATCCTTGCCGGCACAAAGCAACAAGTCGTCATTTTCGATTACATGCTATCACGGATTGGTATCGAGCCAGCACGCGAGCGTCTACTCTTGTTCGTATTGGCAAACATCGACGTGAAGAGCACTGAGGAGCCTGGCTTTTGGAACATGGTCAGCCTACGCCCGAGCTTTTGGGAGGCTTTTGGTCAAGGTGCCAAAGCCGAGTATGGAGGATGGGATGGTTACGTGAAGGGCCTTGGGTTCTCAACCAAGGATATGGAGATCATCAAGAATAACTTGCGGGCTTAACGATGTCATGGCCGATGCTATTACCCTGAGGGCAGGGCAGTATCGTATTGGAAATGGTTCAAGTTGGCTAAAATGAGGGTTTCCACTGTACAATGTTACGATATTCTCTTGTAGGCTAACCTGTCATGGTTGATCTCATGCCCATCTCGATCTTGCTCATCATCATCGTCGTCATCTCATCTCCAAACCTCACTTGGATAGACAATAAATCATGAGTCCTATTGATAGATGCAATCATAGCCAACTTTAACATACCTACTCATCGTCCCTCAACTTTGACGGAGTAAAGCCAGTCATTTACGACTGAGTACGGACCACCTCATCCACTCTAATTCATCTGCAGCCCTATGACATCACCTCCACTGCTAAGGCCCCTGTCTGGGACTGGAACCCGTTGGACCCTGCATCTTGAACAAGGGTCTACTACCCGCGTACCAATTAAACTCGATTGCATCCCATCTAGTGACGTTTCAGTACATCCTTAAAACGTCAATTCCGCCACTGTCCTTAGACCAACAACCGATTCGTCCCCAGCCTGTTCTGTATTTCCAAGTTTTGCTCCTCATCCAGGGTCTTTTTAGCCATTTCCCTCTTTCAGGGTCCGAACCTTACCGCAGATAGTGGCATCAACTCTTTTGGATCTGCAGACAACAAAATCCGATGACCAGGTTTCCCTACGTATTTGATCAATGATCGTAATAGGTGATGCAATAATTCTTGGCCAAGCATGGTTCCATGCTCAAGTACGTTTGTTAACTATGTTGGACAACCTTCCAAATGTGTATATAATATCCCGTTGCAGCCATTTCTCAACATCGATATCAGACTCAGAATCAGACTCAGAATCATCAATACACAAAAGCACAAACACTAGCACAAGCACACTCTACTTGACTTCCACATCCAATCTACTATACAACAAACCATTCATCATGCCTCTCACACGAACTCACCGTCACACCGCCCCCCGTCGCTCCATCTTCAGCACCCGCCGCCGTGCCCCAGCCCATTCTCATCGCCATACAACAACCACCACAACCACAACCACGAAGCCCGTCACCGCGGAATGTTCGGCGGCGGTGCTGGCCGACGAACTCATGCTACAACCACTGCACCCGTTCATCACCACCAGCGTCGACCTTCCATGAAGGATAAGGTCAGCGGCGCCCTCCTCAAGCTCAAGGGTAGTTTGACTCGCCGACCTGGTGTCAAGGTATGTTCATTCTAACTGTTCTCGGGCCAACGGCATACTAACGTCATTAAAGGCTGCTGGTACTCGACGCATGCGCGGTACTGATGGCCGTGGTGCGCGTCACCACCGCTATTAGATAAATATCCTAAGTAACTTGCTAGTTATGCCAGCGGTTATCAAGTAGACCGAGGATACAAGAAATCCTTCAAAGTCGAACCGAGTGTGGAATCACGGACATTGAATTTTTCACAACATGTACGATTATGATAGCGTTGATACCCTCTACTGGGAGTTGAGGATAATTGTATTATTTGTTACACGGCTATAGACAAGCATAAATTTGCACTGCCACTACCAGCGACTTTACCTATCACAATCTCGCAGCTCGTCCTAACCACATAGCCTTTTGGCTTCCTTGTAATCCGTATAAAAATGGTTGCTGTTGTTTGTGCCCCTTCATGAACCACAACTTGTGCCCGTATTCTCACGGCTTGCCATCACCTACGATAGTTTCTGACTAATGCAAAGGTCTACTGGCTATCACCATGTTCCCAAATCTTGCTAATGTAACTCGTCCACATCAGAAGGGGAAACACCAGCTGGACGATAAGGGGGCGCCAGCCGAATATCCTTGTGCAACTTGACCGAATTTGGTAGTACATAAGGGCTTCGTACCAATTGGAGCATCGATGTTGACGAGCCTCGGCGATGATGAACTTTCCCGCACACAGGATCGACCAATTCGTCAATATTGGTAACCGACAAACGAGCTAAGCTCAATCTTTTCCTTTCACATGCCCTTAGAGATGGGCTTGCGTCCAAAGATTCCATTACAAGCTCATCCGCATCGTGCTTGACAGGCTCAGAGACACGAACATGAGTATACTGCTGGAATTGGAGTTCCAAATTCTCCAGAGCTTCTTTGCTGGGTGACGGATGTTTCTTCATCCAACTAGAGGTATGTAAGCTTCTCTTCGCTTTCTCCGAAACTTGCCGAGCTTGAGTGGCCGGATTAGCCAACGTATCGTCACCAGGATCTAAAAGCTTATGGCCCGAAAAGTGGTAAGGCTGCCCGAGTACTTTTCGCCCAGTCGTCGATATGGATCCCGGTTTCTTATTAAAATGACTCTCTGGTATGTGCATATCGCTGTCCGCGGAGCAGCAAACACTGCTCGAAGTTGACGTTGATGAACGCTCGACTAGAATCCGAGGGGTTGAAGATCCGACTGGCGTACTGTTCAAGAACCTATCTTCAATGTTGTCGTCGAATCCCATCTCGGATTCGAATGGATTGCGTAGCGAAGGAGGAGGCGTCTTTGGACCATCGTTTGAGCCCTGATTCAGTCGGTTTTCGAAACATGTTAGAGCTCGCTTGTCAGCTCGTTCAGAGAATGGATCCTCCACAAGTTTCCCGTTTCTGAGTGACTTTCCATCGTCAGCTAATGGTTTTCTGTTAACGCGACCTCCAACGATTTGCTGGACTTTACTTTTATTGAGGTTGTCCCCTTCATTCAAGCGGAGCTCAATGTTACTGATCGGAGAAGCATTCTCAGTTGATGCTTGGGAGCGAGGAGTCGGAACAATGCTCCCTCTAACCCACATATCACCTTGTTCATCGCCTGAGTGGGACAAGGCCGGAGCCTGTATTTCCTCGTGATTCACGGCTTTTGGATGGAAGCGATCCCAAGCATTCGAGACCTTTGTGCGTACTTTCGACGGTACCATACGCGTGAATCTTGAGGTCGAGCAGTTGGCCTGTTGTGGCGAAGGCTTGAGTGCATTGGTAGCGGCCAGCATAGCGGCCAGTTTCCCAGTAATCTCTTCACCAGCACACCGGTCTTGGGCGTGACTAATCTGGCATCCTTCTGCAACTCGATCTCTCGCATTATTGTCACAGGCATCGAGTGCCACGGATGTCGCCACAGCGAAGTCTTTCGTAGGGTGAAATTTGAGGGGGTCATAAGACAGCGATCTCGTAGGCACATGGCGGCGTCGTAAGCTTGTACTTAGTCGCTTTTGTGATGTATCCCTGTGTCTACCAGTCGTGGCAGCTCGTCTAGGAACCCTTCCCACGGCTCTCGATGGCGAGTGCTGGCCCATGCGAGAGGCCCGAGGGTGAGTCTCTGAAGATCTGAGTGGTGTTCTGATAGGTGAAGGGAAATCCAGTGGCGAGATAGCTTGATTGCTATCAATCGAAACCGAGTTCCTCGGTGTAGTGGCCCGTCGCTTTTTTGGAGACAAGTCTTCTCCTTCATTGGAGAGGCGCTCTGGTGTGGAACCGTCTAGTAACCAGCTTGCCATTTCATCCGCAGTTTGCGGTTCAACCATTGCTCTCTTCCGGGATGCTTGCTCGGGGGGGTTGTTTATAAGGAATTCTGCTTCCAAAAACAGTTAGAAGTTGATCAGGGAAGACATGTGGGATAACATACGTAGTCGGGTAGGTAGTAAAGGTTTTGGTATGGCTCTTTGGTGGCGTGTTCCCAGCGTCCTCAGGATACTTCTATTCCTCTTCTTGCCGTATGTGATGGCAGCTGGCATCGTTGGTGTATGATGTGATTAGAGTGTAACGAGTGAGAGGAAACGAATTAATGGCCCCATTCAGCGGTGATGAGTTGGGAAATTGGCTGTTATCAACTCAGACGATCCGTTGAGTGTGATAGGACTTGCAAGAGGACAGTGATGGTCGAATGTGGTTGACAATTTGTCGAAGTAGGGTCGAAATCCTGTATCTGCAATATGTCACTCGAACGCCTTCATTTTCCCGCTGAAATGGACTCGTCAGGTCCAAGCATAGGAATTTGATCGAGAAGTGAGGTTGCAAAAGTTTGATACCTAGTGAGAGCTGAAAAATGAGTGAGTGGACGAGCGGGCAATGAATGAGAGAGGAAGGTTCACTTCATATGGAGCAAGCCTAAGTTGGTGCCTTGCTTTACTTACGGGCATATGCCGGCAAATGAAGTTGAAATTGCAAGAAAGAGGTACCTTTAGGTAGGGAAGGTACCTTAGGTAAGATACCTAGGCAGTCAGGAGGTATAGGAGCTGCTTGGAAAAGAGCCGGGGAAGAACGTTATGCGATGTGATATAATATAGGTAGTAGGTACTGACCGAGAGTCGACATCACTGCTAAGAAGTGCTCGCAACAGTTGCCTGTGGTTTCTTCAGGCAACTTCCTTTTATTTGACACTGAGCTGATCTGTGCCTAAGCAGGTGTCTTTGTATGTCTCAATATGGAGATCGCGATTCAAATAGACATTCATTCCCGTGATACCTCTATGTATAGTCGACGAGACTAAAACCACGCTCCCTCTATGGATATTTGTGAGCAGCCACTTGCAGCACCATCACACAATAGCCGTCATACGCCAAGATGCATAGTACTATGACGCCTCTTCGCTCTTTCCCGAACAGAGTTCAATATGAAGGCCACAGTGCAATGTTGCACTGCATATTAAGTATGTTCTCGATGCGATTTGACGCTCAGTACTAACTCAGAGCCATGCTACCCCTGACTTACATCAAGCGACTTGAAAGGCGAGAAACGTTTAATAACAACACGAGATCCCTATCATAGAACCGAGAGACGAGACCTCCGGGACACAAAGGTTTTGTTGACTCAATTTTGGCTTGTGTTCATAAGTGTCCAAGGAAGCCAAATACTGAATTATTCTCAGTTGTAGGTTATATTCACTAACTATGAGTGTCCTACCGACGATACCGCAATACAGTTACATACTCATATACGGCAAAGGTAAAAAGGTCTCTTACACAACCATCAGCTTCAGAATCAGGCAATCATAGCTTGAGACACTTCCCATTCTTCTGCTCGTGCAACTTTGGTAACCTCATCCTGAAAACTGGCCCGAGACTTGTGGGCTCAGACAATGTACTCAAGTCTAAGGAGCTTCGCAAAGTCTCTGAAGGCTTTATTCACCCGAAACACTGTTTCAAAACGAGTCACTTGCTTTGAAAATTGAAGGATGGTTGTGGTGAGAGGATCAGTTGCTCGCTGTGTACCTACCTATTGGTGATGAGGAAACACGTGATACCACAGCCACGAAAACCACTGGTGGCTTAACTTGGACTTGATCGTGGCGCAATTCCGCATCATCGTCACCTCGCCGAGCCTCCAGAAATTTCTCTCGAACGACGGGTCGCCTGCTATCAAACGAGTTCGGGAGAAAACGGCAAGATAACCTATTACGGTTTGCAATTTCATTATCAAGAGTCACGATGTTCTGATTATGAATCTGGCTGGTTTCCCGCATCTTGTAATTACTTGAATCCAACACATTAAATCCGAAAGCTCCGACCAGTTACGATTAATTATCGCCTCTCGCCCGTTTCGACCGATCACGAAGTTTCTCAGCCACCTTATCTTCGACTGTAAACCTACGACTCAGGAGGACGTTGGGTTTTGTAACTCAAGCGACTTCATTTGGCAATCATGTTAAGGCAACCTGTTCGCGGCGTGCGTGCGCCTTTGCGCGCCTTCAGCCAACTAGCTCAACAGGCAGCCTGGAATGGCGCATGGAGGAGACTCTTTACATCACAGTCGCAAAACAAGACCGCGCGTCAGCTTTTGAGATGGAATACCATCCCTTGGGATAGTATGATGGCCAGACTGAGGAGCGCTCGCTTCGGGATCGGTTCTACAACAACGCCAAGCATGCTCCAAGGCGTACTAAGGCGCGGTTTTCGATGTACCACAAAGCGCAAGACAAACAAGAAGCCGACCGTTGGCGAAGCCGAGGAACCAAAAGGCCTCACCGCCAAACTCAAGAAGCTTACAAAGGAATACGGCTGGGTAACCGTAGGCGTCTACCTCGGGCTGACCGTTCTCGACTTCCCGTTCTGCTTCCTGTTTGTTAGAATGGTCGGTGCTGATAAAATCGGTAAGATATTGCCGCGGCCTCACCTAGATCCGTTAAAGAGGTCATGCGGATCTTTATTCTCAGTGGGTTGCTAACTGATGCCGCTGGCGCATTTTAGGCGAGGTCGAACATCGTGTGATGTCGTCAATCAAGCAGATGATCCCCGATACTGTTCGGGAGGCCTGGCACACCTACTGGCAGTCGTTCAAGAAGGCTGAGGCGAGAGCACTTGGCGATGACGATATCAGTGACAAGATGGAGATGG